TATAAATATGCTAATTATATCTATGTTTAAAATAAATTACATGAAATTTATATATACAGAATGTCCCAGAATGACCGTCAAATATTTCGTGTGCTAGTAGAGTAGACTAAATTAAATCGCAAAGTCCTCTATTATTTTGCAATTTTTATAACAGTTAACAAGATATTAATTATTAAAAATTTCTGAATATTAGTTTTTAATAATTTTTTATCCAGGTACTATCAACTTTACAGAAAAACAACTAATAAAAATTATTTATTTTTTCTTAGAATTCTGAGAATTTTTTAATATCGCATTTTCTCATGTTGATAAAAATAGTTGCCAATATATATATGTATATATAAGAAAATACAGTACTAAAAAGTTGATAAAAAAATTCTGAAAGAATTCTTAGAACTCTATGAGAAGAAAATAAATAATTTTTGTCTCTTGTTTTTTTGTAAAATTGATAGTACTCGCGTAAAAAATTATTAAAAATAAAATATTCGGCGATTTTTAATTATTAATATCTTGTTAACTATTGGGAAAATTGTAAAATGGACTTTTTAACTCAGTTTAGTCTGGTCTACCTATGCACGAAATATTTTTATTAAATATTTTTAGTAAATATTTACGAAATATTATAGGCAGTCATTCTGGGATATATATTTTTTATAAGTATTATAATTATCTATGTTCAAAATATATTACTCGAGATTTATATATCTGAAAATTCCCTTTTTTATTTCATTTTTCATTTTTGTAGAAGGTGTAGATACGAAGGTGTAGAAAAAGAGCTCCCAGTTCCTTGCACAGCTACTAGATTAGATTCAACAATGTTTAAATCCAGATCTCAATCCCCAAGACAGACAAAAATCGATTATCACACGGTATCTTCAAGCGTCTCGCAATGTTACGATTTTGATTACGATAAAAAATATATTAAAGACCCCATTTTTAAACAATGTATATCTCAAAAAGAGGAAGAGAAGAAATATATTAAATTTGTTTACGACATCACCAAAGAAATAATGCAGAGAGGACTTTATACCGATAAAGAGTTGCAGGACGTATTTAAGAAGCACATTAATCGATATAAAGGAATATTAAACATGGTATAAATAATAAAATTGTCATAAATGTAAAAGAACTTTACTTTAATATCTTACAATTTCTTAAATCGTATTGATATCTCCCTCAATATTTATCAATATATTATCTTTATGGATTTTCTCTTTTATTTCAGAATAAAATGCTGTACGAGATTTATCAGTTAAAGATCTCCTTAAATATAGTAGATTCAGACACAGACGAAGAGCTAGAAGATTTGATCCATGCGCAAAAATTATTAAGTATATCTGAGATTAGGCCACCTACGCCGCCGAAGGTTTTGGATGAAAATAAAGTGATGGCAAAATTAGAATCTTATCAGAAAATGATGAAAGCTGACAGATCTCCAAAAATGACTACGAAATCAGTGATGCTGGTCGACGCGAACCCTGAACTATTTATCACCGAAAGGGATGTGCTGATATCGTTGGTGGAAGCAGGTGTAGATCTCAAACAAATTCAACATATTTGTAAGAATCTACGTTACAAGAGTAGAGACATCAACTTCACTGAAGAGGTAAGATAATTCAACATTCTTCATTATTTCGGAAATAAATAATAATCTCTACTTTATTTAGATACAAATAGACACGGAAACTTATTCTGCGGACTTGAAAGTAAACAATTTAGAACTGAAAGACAACAAGCAGGTTTTTGTGGCTGCTGAAAGTGCTAAGTCTGCCGTGGATAATTCAATTAAATTTTTTGAAAAACAAGAACCGAGTCCTTCGACACCGAATTTCGTATCCACGCAAGACGAGGCAGTGGAAGAAGAGAAGACGGAATCTGAAATCACATCTGAACATAATGATAAAGCAGAAAAACAAGAACCGAGTCCTTCGATACCGAATTTCGTATCCACGCAAGATGAGACAGTGGAAGAGGAGAAAACAGAGCCTGAAATCACATCTGAACATGATGATAAAGCAGAAAAACAAGAACCGAGTCCTTCGACATCGAATTTCGTATCCACGCAAGACGAGACAGTGGAAGAGAAGACGGAATCTGAAATGACATTTGAACATGATGATAAAACAGAATCGTAA